AGGGACAGAGAGCTTCCTGAGTAGGAACAGGGACACACATCTGTGTATCTCCATGATGCCAGCTGTGGTGTTTTAGAGATTCAGGTTTATAAGTACATATATGTATATATGACACACACACATCCATTTAATGAATGACCACCACTAAGAACACCCCACTCCTTTCATCATAATTATCAGTTGCCAGGTTGCAATAGAAAGTTTCATCAAAAACTAATTCAAAAGGCTAAATGTATCATGTCTTCCCCAAAAAATTAGCATCAGACCACATTTGAATTTCTATAAATCTTCTGCTAATTTAAATGGCTTTAGAATTAATTAAAAATGTTTTTCAATCGATAATAATGTAACTCAGATAATTAGCATCAAGTAGCATCTAGAGGACATATTTAAAAAACTAATCTAGAGTATAAATAGACCTAATTAACAATTAGAATAACACTTTATAATTACACTTTGTTTATAAATGCTAGAATGTCCGATTCATTGTTCAACGAAATTGGTCATTAATGAAAATCAGTTATTTTTCCCTGATGTCTCCATGAAGATGTCTCTAGGATGCACTGGCTTTTATGTTGCCTATTTTCTTGGTGATTTTTTAAAGACCCCTCCTGTCCCATATTTGACAACTTTGTTCTGCAATTAAGCTGAACAATATCATGCCTTATCTTGCACACTAACTTAGACCTTTTTGGTAATTAAACAGATGGGCCTGACTACAAACCTGAATTCTCTTATGTCTGACCTAAAGAGATAACTTTGCAGTACGGAAATCCCAAGGGTGGCAAAGACACCAGGATCATAAAAAGAGAGACAGGGCCTGGTACTTGCAGGGAAGCAAAGAGACTAGAGGACCTGGGCGCCAGGAGACTAGGAGAATGACAGCCCCTATCAGCAGAGTTAGGAGGTGGGCTCTGGAGAGGCAGGGAGTTTGCTGGAGGACACCTGGGCTCAGCTGCACAAGGAGAAGTGCTGGAATGACCTCTATTCAGAAAAGTGCAGGCTATTTGCTGGGAATTTAGAATTCGAAGTGAGAAGGCAGTTCAGAGCAAATACTGACTTAGGGTCATCTGAAAAGAAGCAAATGTTGAAGCCGTATGTAAGAGTGGGATTTCCCACAGAAATGTGAGCAAGACAAACAAGGACTGAGCCTGGAGGGAGTCTACACCCGATGCAAAGGGTGAGTCTAGGTTACTTATGAGGTGAAAGAAGGGAGGGAAGCAGAGGAAAAGTCAGAGATCTGGGAGGACTGCAGGAACAGTGGAGTATCTAGAAGCCAGGAACAGCTGGAAAACAGGTGCCTGGTTCTCCTTCCCTCCCCTCGTGGTGCCAGTGTGCTATGGAGCTCGGGGAAGATTCCTAAGATAGAAGTCACGTGGGTAGTGGGAAGACTGCCTAGATTCAGATCGTGACTCCACCGGTTTCTCTCTGTGGAACTTTGGGCAAGTTTCACATCACTCTGTGCCTCAGTTTGTCCCTCTGTACATCAAGGTGATAAGCCAGGGCCCTCCTACCCAATGTCTTTATTCACGGCGATTAGTTTAGCATTTTGCACAGAGAAAACCCTTAACATGTGTTAGCTATATTTATACTGTGGCTTTTCTGGAGCAAAGTGATAAAAGCTGAGCCTGAGCTCAACTGAAAGCTACCAGTAAAGCTGGGACAAAGCTGGGAGGGTCTTAGGTCAGTGGCTCTCACGCGTGTGCATACATCAGAGTCACCTGGAAGGCTTGTTCAAGGACAGCTTGCTGAGCCCCTGAGTTTCTCCTTCAGTAGGTCTGGGTGGGGCTTGAGAATTTGCAAAACTAACGAGTAGACTAGAGCTGATGCTCCCCATTCAGGGACTCACACTTTCAGAACCAGTGTCTTAGTGAGTAGAGGAAGAGACCCTATAATTTTGGGAATTCAGCCCAGGCCTTCAACCCCTCCATCACGTAAATCCTTTTTGAGAACACACATGCTAGCAAGACCAGCTTCATGTGTACCTGGGTGAAGTGGGCGGTGTCATATTTCTTGGCAGTTAAAGGCTCTTCCTCTTCTGGCCCTTCCTATGTCCAGGAAATCCACTAGTCCAAACTTAACTGAAAAATGAATACTTCCACAGGTTCTCTGCCAATTTCTCTCAGAGTACCTTCTTAAGTGAACATACAGGGTTGGGTAAAATTTTAGAATGTGATGGGTGCCCTGAAGCCCAAGTGGACCAACAGAAACCATCCCCAACATGATGGTTAGCATCTACTGAGGGCTTCCTGTGTACCACCACTCTGCTATTTGCTCTCCATACACTGTGCCATCCAGTTCTCCCAACTACTGTGACAGCCAGGCATTCTTTTCTTTCCCTTTTTTTTTTTTTTTTAAGATTTTATTTATTTGAGAGAGAGAGTGTACACAAGCGGGGGAGACAGGCAAGAGGAGAGGGAGAAGAAGACTCCCTGCTGACAGGGTACCCCATGTGGGGCTTGATCCCGGAACCCAGGACCCCGGGATCATGACCTGAGCTGAAGGTAGATGCTTAACCCACTGAGCCATCCAGGCGCCCCAACAGCCAAGCATTCTTATACTATGTCACAGAGTAGAAGGATGCCTAGTAGGGTGAAGCGACATCCTAAGGCCCGGGCTGATGAATGACAGAAACCAGAATTATTGGCCAGTGTCAACTCTACAACCTGTGCTCTCAGCCACTCAGCTACGTGGCTCTTGCCTGTTCTCTTTTCCTCAGGAAAGATGTGCATATATGACAAATCAGCAATAATGGCCAGCCTATATTTATCCCCCCCATATCTCTTCCCAGATAAAAATTTCCAGAGAGTTGAACCTTCTTTATGAAGCATGGCTTCTAGTCCCTTTGTCATTCTATTCAGGGTCCTTTGAGTGTGCACGAGGAAGTCACCTTCCTGAAAACTGAATAGATGGGTGTGGTTATCCAGAGAAGAACGTAAACAACTGAGTTAAGCTACTATATTCTGGAGGCATTATCTTCAGGCTTATTCCTTATTACTTTCTACTGCTATTCCTACTCAACTATCAATAGAAATAACTGATTAATTAACATATGTTTCTTGTTATATTCATTCATTCTTCCACTCTCCATTTTGTTCCACCCTCTTTGTTTTATATGTGTGGAAACTAAGGCTTAGAGAGAAAAACAGACTTGGGTAGGGTCACTCAGATCCTCAAGGTGTGAGCAAGGATTCAAATCCAGCTACGTTAGACTCGACCATGAAATATGCATCCAGATTCAAACCTCCCAAGAGTTTGCTCAGTCTCATGACTCAAAAAGACAAACCTCTCATTAAGCTGAAAATGAAATTGCCTAAACTTCTCGTTCCACACCATATGGCTGAATCCCAGCTGACAGGAAGCTCATTTCTGCAACACACCAGGCTCATTTCACTGAGTAGGTTGATGCGAGATTTGTGGGGTGGTCATTTCCTAATCTTTCTAGCACTGATAGCAGCAGTGGTATTCATTATGATGCTTCCTTTCTACATTTTAACATAAAAAAGCAAATGTTCCTAATGATGGAGACAGATTTTGTCCTGAATTGTTCTCTAAGTAAAATATCACAAGCAGACACAATGACAACAACAACAAAAATATCCACCTGCCTTCAAGTGACCAAAAACTACAATAATCTTCCAGTCCTTAGTCTATTGAACAGTGGGGATGGGGGGGGGGAGGGAGAGAGTTCTTAAATGATACCATCCTGGAGTTTTTTACACAAAGATTAAGCTGAAGTATTTGGATATCTAAAATGATCTTGAATCTTTCCAAAGATTCAGATTTTAACGAAGCGAGGTGACTCACGAAGTGTGGATAACTAACGAGAAGTGCTCAGATCATTTGTACAGAATGATCTGAGCATGAGATACCATCACGTTTTCCCCTGGGCAATTATTCTACAGCCAGTATAGCAAAGTATTCTGGAACAAAAGGAGAGCCTGAAGTTTTTGCGTTTGTTTCCCCCACTGCCCCCCAAAACCTAGAACTAATATGGAAAGTGCCATTTCTACACATAATAGAGAAAGACATTAAGTGTTAAGGGTTGGCCATGGCCTGAGAATGTATTTATGTGCATTTAGATGCACTGAGGCTGGAGTTCATGGGTAAGGATTTGAACAGTCCTACCACTGGCCCTTGATCTTGGACAAGTTTCTTCACCTCTTCAAACCTTCGTTTACTCATCTGAACAATGGGACAAATTTGAGGAGGTAGCAAATTATAGTGCTCTAAAGTGAAACATGCCAAATTCAAAATACCTGGCTGATACAACATGAACTCATTTAACCCTAGGGACCACTTGAGATGGTAGATGTTCTTAGCTCAACCGAGCAGGAAAGAAAACTGGCTCAGTGAGGTCAGTACCTTGCCCAAAGTCACACAACTAATGGGTGACAGAGCAGGGATAAGTGACAGATTAGCTCCAGCACCAGGACCCCTAAACCACCATACTAGAGCATTTCAGCATACAGCCACAGAAGACTACTTTGTTGTGTGCTCAAATCCAAGGAGTCCATCAGTGGCACCATAGATATTCCTGCACATGTTTTCACAAATAAATTCTTGGGCCCTTCCACCAGAGCTTTTAATTCAGTGAGTCATGGTTGGAGCTGTGAACCTAAACTTTTCAGAAGTTCCCTAAGTGATTCTTCATTTACAACCAGGTTTAGGAATCTCTGAATCATGTATATAAGTCTTGACTGCTTCTACCAAGAGTGCCAGTCTGTGAGGATAGGATGTGCTCCGTTATACTTCTTGGCATGAATATGCATCCCTACCTGAAGCTCAGTGTTGACAGTCATGCCACAAAAACTCATTACTTGAGACATTTTCACGGGGTTGGGGGGGCAGGTTCTGAGGTAGGCTGTGGGGGAGTTCATCTACCTTGCTTAAGAGAATCCAGGTAATAGACCTAAATCTCTCTTCTAGGCACCATTTCATTTTTCCTCTAAAATGTATACATTGGCATCAAACCAATTAGATGATTAAAGTTTCCTTACCTAAAACTCTTAATCTCTCAGCTCCTACCACCACTTCATGGTTATCTGCAGAGAAGAGCAATTTTCCAGAAACTGTCTTTACTTCAAACTTTTTGCCATAAGCTTCTACAGCTTTTGGACCTAGAAGGGAGAGAGAAAGGGAGGGAGAGAGAGAGGTTAGTCTCATTGCATTCATTTACAAGGAGCTTTTCGCAGAACATACACATCTGACTTTGTATTGGACTTTAATGTAAGTGGATTGGTTTTCAGAAGCCAACCGTGAAAATCAGTCTTGTGACTCTGGCCATGTCTTGTCAATTACTTTTAATCATATGCTCTTGGGCTATGATTTTAAAGACCATCATGTGCCTTCTTCAGACTAATGCTTGTATGAGATTTCCCTTAGCTAGCCACCAAATTACTGTCAAATACTTGTAGACTTTGGCTTGAACATATCAAGGCACAGAAAGCTCACCATCTCTTGAAGTAATCAGTGTATCTTTGACCAGCTCTAACTGTTGGAAAGGGTGCCTTTAAATTCAGCTGAAGTCTGTCTCACTCTGTATCCTTAACCCAGTGGCTGCATGTGACACCAGACAAGTCTATTTCCCAGGTATATAGATCATTTCCTGGCAGAAAAGGGTATCATAAATTGCAATTAATTGCTAGAAAGTTGTTGAATCTTTTATGCTAGAATTTCATTCAATAAATTTTAGAGGGTTTATCATATGACAACAGATGCTATCCTTGAAGGGGGGCTATCGTGGTGGCATCTTCTGATGGAGACAGATGTAAGTTTAAACACCAATGAATCAGAAAATTGCAGAGTTTTGCGTAGCATGGAAAAAATAAAACAAGTTAATGTGTTAGAATTCCTTTTTAATACAACAACGACGACAACAACAGGAGACATTGCAGTTTCTCTGAACTAGAACTACCTGGATGCCTCAAATTCAGGTGGCTCTCAAAGTCTGCTCTGCAGAAATGCATCAGAATAAGCTGCGGGCGTAATCATCCCCACAGAACCTCACTCAGAGCAAAAGGAATTTATCTTTTGGGCTGGAAATTCATAAAGAAAAAAAGTTTTGAGGTTAGAGTCTAGAAATCTTATATTTTTCCAAAACTGCTCGGGGGATTCTGATGGAGCATTTTTGTTTCTAGTTATTTTTCAAGACAGTGTCACTTAACTACAGAAAGTGGTAATGAAAGGGCCCTCAATGCCTTCCAGGCAAAGACCAATGGGAACATACGTGTAGGTGAACAAGTTGGGTTTGGTATTCATTGCTGTGATGGAGAACACACACCATGGGCAACCACACAGGGCATCTCAGTAAGAAATACAGTATTTGGTTTTATGTTAGGTTATTTTGGGACTTGGTTTCAGGAAGCAAGGCTTTGCTCTGGATTAGGTGCTATTGGAAAGTGGGAGTGATTTTACAACTGGCACATTACTGTATCTTCCCTAGAGGTAGGGAAGACCAGAGTAATGCTAAGACTGTAAAGCCTAATGAAACAGCAGTCACTGATATTAACCAGGATTGAGGGATGTTCAGTCATTTGAGTGGTTTGGATAAATGTTTCCATTTTTGTCTGTATTCAGACATGGTTAGAGTTGTCTTCGTTTTTTGTTTTGTATTGATCCTTCAGGACCAACCGAGTGGCCTCGTCTGGTGTTGATGTTCGGCAAAATTATTTATGTTCAAACAGAAGAGCACAGAGGCTTGGCTTATGGTGCCAGGCCTACTCCTGTACATCCAGGGCTGTTGTCCTCATTGACAAGGCCACCAGACTAAGAATCAGAAGAACTATGTCCCAACTTTCACATTCTCTAGAAATGTGACTTTGGGAAAATCCTTTAGTCTTTCTGAACCTCATTTTCTGCATCTGTAGAAGTGTACTATCACCATCTATCTATTCTGTTACCTTGTAGAAAGGTTAAAAGGATCAAATTATTCTATGTTTATAGAAAGAACTTTGTAGGTGGAAAAGTGGTGTGAAATGTAGGGGACTGCTCTCGTGATTATCATCACTGTGATCACAACCCATCACCATTTTTCTAATGCAATGGTCCCAACACATTGAAAATAATTAATGACAATCACCTGTCAGTGCACTTGCCTCATTCACATAATCATGCCAATTTGGCAGCCCTCATCTCCTCCTCTGACAAAAGGAAGGGCATTGGAAAGGCTTCTGAATGAGTGGGAAATTGAAACAGACATAGCAGAGACTTTCCAAATGGCCTGGGACCTAGCCATGACTGCCTTTATGCTCTAGGTGAGAAGAACAAGTGGGAGCAGAGCTAAGGGCTCTCTCAAGGTCAACAGCTCAGCTACTGGAAGATCTGGGTCTGGAACTAAGCTCTCAGAATTGTTCCATAGAAGAACAGGGATGTGTATTTGTCTAGAGAGAGAAGAGGATTGGAGTCAACGCATGAGGAGCAGCTAGGAGGGGAGCTTTAGAGGATGGTGAGGGGGAGTGGAAAGCTGGAGATAAGGACCAGAGTGCAGTCCTGAAAGAATAGAGATGGACAGTGAGGGCTTTGGATTAGACGATTCTGGGAGGGCTCAGATGTGGCTGTCTTCTTGATCACACCAAAACTGTAAATGAAATCTATACTACTTGTTAATATACTGGGATTGTTAACCCTTTTTTTTAGAGGGGAGAGATTGGGGATCAGGAGGTGAAGGAGTATTAATAAATGAATGAATGACCTCAGGATAGGCATGGGGTGAGTACTGTTTGCCACTCTGGATCTAGTCAATGGCATAATGGGGGTATGACTGGGGACCAAAAAAAGCTTGGCCTCTGCCTCCATGGACCTGGGCAGTATCATGAGATAAGGCCCTTGAGGAGTCGAGAACACCCGCCTGGGTAAAGCCAGTCTGCTCTGAACTTATGACTGTTTTGTGAGACATGCAAGAGCATGTCCTAAAGACACCGAAGCAATCAGAGAACTCAAAACACAATTAAGTTATCTTGCTTTCCAGGGCTCCTCAAAACACAAAAAGGAACCTACCAAGGGCCAGAGCCATTTGCACATACAAAGCTCTGTAGTTGGAAGTTTCAGCCAAAACCCCACAGAGCAACTGCCAGCTCAATGGTGCAGATGGCTTGTCCTTTTGTTGATTTTACCTGGGGCTGCCAAATGTCCTAGAGAAGGAAGGAAGGAAGGAAGGGAGGGAGGGAGGGAGGGAGGGAGCGAGGGAGGGAGGGAGGGAGGGAGGGAGAGGAAGGAAGGAAGGAAGGAAGGAAGGAAGGAAGGAAGGAAGGAAGGAAGAGAAAGGAAAAGAAAAGAAAAAAAAAAAAGAAAGATTCTGGAGGGAAATGCAAATGGAACTGGAGACTGCTTAGGAGGTCCCTTGGTGAACCCATTGTTCTCTGGGATGGAAAAAATCATTACTTGTAACTTGCAACTACTCTCCAGTTAAGCTCCCTCGGTGCATGGTGGTATGTGCGGAGTACTTCTTTAAATCCGTAATGCATCTCCTACACAGGGAGAACTGGAACCCATCAGGACACACCAGCAGGGCCCCAGTCATGCCAATGCCATGAATCTGAGAGCTGAAAGGGGGCCATCCTGCCTAATTCCTCTCCCCCCAACCCCCTTGATCCTGAGACCCTTCCCTGCTCTGATGAGATGCCATGAAAGGCTCATTACAACCCTCCTCCATGCAGGCCGGAGGGCTTTCTCTATGGGCCACTACTGAGCGGGCACTAAATCAGCTGGAGGGGGGGCCAGATGTGCTTTTGTGGCCTTGCCTGGCAACTTAACTATCACTGAAAGTCCTCTTCTGTGGGAAAAATTTACCTGGACTGCTAACACTGGAATTTCTACTGGGCTTTTGAGACATTCTTGAGGTCAGCAGAAGTCTTGATCCTCAGGATTGCCGGTGTCAGCCTGGCTACTTGGACGAGAGTGGTCATTTGCTCTGGGGTAGGCACACCACCAAGGAGAACAAGCTTTAGCAGACCCTGTCTTCTGGAACTGCTCTGTGCTTTCCACCACGTGCATAAATGCAAAAGGAGAAGCCTGAAGGAAAACCTGACAGGGTGAGCATGCATGCGTCTATGTACTTAGAATTATATTTTGAACCATCTATTATCCTCTCTAGTGATCATCTTGAAAGGCTCCTGTCAGCTGCTGTTAGAGTGGCTTTTTGCCCATCTCATTCTAATATGAGCTCTCTTGGGCCTCACTGTGAGAGCTCCGGAGAGGGGTCTCAGCTGCCAGGAGGGCCTAACTTAGGCAGGGGAGACAGGAAGAGAGAAGACAAGGAAGGAGGGGGAGAAGAGAGAATGGAAGAGAAAAAGGAGAGAAAGAGAGAGAGAGTGGAGAGATGGGGGAGAGAGGAGGAGGAGGAAAGACAGGGGCAGAGAGAAAGAAGAGAGAGGGGGTGGGGAGGGAAGGGGAAGAAGGATGGAACCGGAGGGCGGGGAGGGGAGACAAGAGGAAGGGGTCAGGAATTTGGGGACAGGAGGGAGAGGAGGAGGTTGGGATGCGGTGGGGGAGAGACACTGACTGAAGAATAGTCATTCGGGCACTTCCAGCTTTATCAAAACAAAATCTCTCAAGTAAACCAAACCTCCGATGGCAAATAAATGGCAAATGATCAACAGACTAAATAAGTTCCTTTTGAACAGAGGAATCAGGGAATGGGAGGTTGGATTTATTTCCCTCCTGGAGGCAATTTTCACACACGCTGCTTAAATCACTGCTTACTGAAGCTGTTTATTTAATTATTTAGCGTGGTGACTGCAGGCCAGATGTCCTGTAAGCAAGGCCGACAATCCAGCCGCACACTGGAACATGTTAACGGATTAGGCGCCGCGCCGTGTGGTGGCTCCTTCCACCACTGGTAGACGGTCCAAGTCACCCCTGGCTGTGGCTCTCCAGACATCAGATGCAGTGCTCCCGCAGGGCACAGAGACCCTTTCCCCAGCAAGCCTCGGGGCACAAAGCACCTGTTTCCCCGTGGCGGGTTTATCAGTGGGGGCGCCAGATGTTTCAGTCACAGTAATGTTTCAGGGTATTTGGGCAACTGGCTTATCAAAATGTCCATCTGTATACTTCTCTCTCAGCCCTGAAGCCAAACAAATGGCATTTTCTCTCTGGAAGTGTAACAATGCTATTCAGAAGCATACCGCTTTTCCCTTCCGCTGTGGGGATGCATAATGGCTCCTGTTTACTGTGGCTCATAACCTACATTGGGGGCGTTGGTCAGACCACTCAACACATTTCCATGACCGTAAGGCCCAGGCTTATCATTATAATCATTACGTGAATAACCAATCCTTGTTTAAATTTTAGGAATATGCAGCTTAAAGCCCAGTGGGTGCTTTCCGCAACTGTTAGGAGCAGATCTGCTCAGATGAAAGGAACCACACAAACATAATCAAAGAAGGTACCTCTGCATTGTGCATTTGAGTCAGGTTCAAAGTCAGCACATATCGCAAACATGGCATGGATTCAAATTACCTTTAAAAATCCCCTTTGCGCCCCATAAAGTCTGTGTGCAGGGTTTTGTGTATATTGTGCTCTCTCTCTCAATTAATCCAACCCAGCCAGCTTGTCCTCAAGCATGGGAGCAGAGAGCTTTTCTGTTGTTGAGCACCAGACGAAGCAGATGGCTTATGTTTAGGAGCCATGTTACATGAAAAATAGCTTATTGCCCCTCTAAATGAGTATTGTTGGATTTGCATAAGTTAAATGTGTGTGTGTATATGATGAGCCTTTACCCTTTAGTAGAATCATGGCACACATGCTACCTTCTTCTCCACCCTGTAAAACATGTCAGCGCGCGTTTCTTTCTTTAGTTCACGTGGTATTTCATTCAGTCTTTGGCTCTATGTTTTCTGAGTGCTTAGCGTGGACCAGGCCCTGCCAAGTCCTTTAGTTTCTTACCTGTGATGAGCTGAGTTAGCACTTTAGTCTGGTCATTGAGAATGTTCACTGTAACATTTCTGGCTGATTTGAAGTATAGGGCATTACCCTGTAATAAGAAAATAAGAGAAACACATGAAAATGGCAAATTTCAAAACAAATAACTGTAACCACAACTCTCCAAGGGGCTGAACTGGTCTTCACCAAGTGCTAATTGATGTGTCTTTATTTGAAAACTCCAAATGTCTTCATGATCCCCACATACATGATAATTGGCATTCATCCAAAACGGATTTCCTCCAAAGAGACCCACAGAGACCAACACGCACTCAAAATAGATTTCCCTCACGCACACACACACACACACACACACACACAGAGTTGAATCAGAGGCAACCCAGCAACAAAGAGTCCTTTAGATCTTCCTACAGATGTAAGTTACCTTTGGTACATAGAATGATAAGGAATGATTGGTAATCTCCTAATTCCACACTTTCTAGTTTGTAATTTTTCCAAAGGAACCATGGAGTGTCCTAACTGGAGAGCAGAAAGCGTATGGAAAATACCCAAGGTCAGCCCCTCTGGCCTCTTCCCTGGCTGTGAGAATCCAGGTGCAATTCAGACCGAAATGTTCCCTGTGCCTTCATCCAATGTTTTCTTTGTCAAAAAGAGCACCCCAGTCCATTTCACACTGTGGCAGGCATTTTTGAGAATGACTCAGAGGTTGGGGGGGAGCATACTTTTTCTACAAAGGGTCTGATAGTAAATATTTTGGGTTTTGTGGGATGTATGGTCTCTGCGGTAACTGCTCCACTTCTAACTGCTGTTTTGGTGCCAAACCATCACAGAATGTACACAGACAAATGGGTATGGCTGTATTCCAGTAAAACCTTATTCATGGACAGTGACATTTGAATTTCAAATAGTTTTAAATTTAACATAATCTTACTGTATTCTAGAATGTTCGTCTTCCTTCTTTCCCCTAATCATTTAAAAATGGAAAACTCTTCTTATTTCATTGGCCAAATGAGAACAGGTAGAGGAGCCAAATTTAGCCCACAGGCCACAGTTTGTCAACCCCTGACTTAGAAGTTCTCCCTGAATTGCTGCCAGAACACCTCAGTATCCGGATAGCTGTTATCAGAAGAAAGGAATGTGGGTAGTCATTCTCTTCTTTCTAAACCTTTGTTACCACATGACATTTATCTGCCCCCAAATTCTATAATACCACTAGGCACTGAGTCCCAAGCCCAGAAAAACCATCGTCCTAAGAGCGGTGCGGAAAGCAAAGATAAGTAAGACTCCTTTTTATTTTTAAAGTCTTAGGATCTAACGGGATCGATAAGATGGACACACAAATAATACTAGACGGAGAACCATCCCGGGTGATTAAGGAGCCACAAACAAAGTGTGTAGGGAACTTTCCTGAAGGGTAAGATTATTCATAGCTTGAGGCTATGGAGTGGGAAGCAAAGGAGATGTTTGTGAATGCTTCAGCTGAGCCTTAAAAAGAATATGGATAGGTTTCGCCAAGATGAAATGAAAAAAGGAGGTCATGGAGGTAGGAAGGTTGTGGGATGAGCGTCTCATGTCTTTTTCCTTCTAAAGCTGGCAGGGCGTAGGAGGGGATTCGTGAGCTCAGCCGAGCAGCTGCATGTGGCAGAGTGGCTGGCTAGCAGGGACAGGGAGCCACCAGGATGGCATTCCTTCCATAAACTGAGAGTCTGGAGTCACGGTCTCCCCACCCAAGCCCCTGTGGGGGACTGCAGTGCATCAGGGGCTGCCCTGATGAGACAGAAGTCACCATCTCTCTCCCTGACACTAGGACAGTAGCTCTGGCCCAAGGTGAACTCCTAAAACGCATAACCTATACCCATGTCCCACCCAGGCCCTGGAGAACCAGATCCCCTCAGGCCAGAGCTGTTGTCCGAGTGTCAGGGAAAGAGACGGTGCCTTCTGTCTCATCAGGGCAGCTGCTGATTCACGGGAATCCCCTGCCATGGCTTCAAGTTAAAATTCTGCCTGATGGTAAACTTTTTGCTTTGTTTTTTAATTAGCTAAGAGAAAAAGAAATTTAATACTGTCACAGGCTTCTTCTGTCCATTACCTAAAAATTTTAGCCTAAAATAGTTTCTTTGACATTGCTTTTGGCAATGTCAACAGTTCTACTTAAAACTGAAAATCAATTCAAGTAATGTAAGGATTCGGAACCTGGAACCCAGACAGGAGGTTTTATGTTTCTAGAAGTTAACGTACTAATTCTTCTTATCTTCAGCAAGCTGGCACTGCAGAGAGAAGGGCTATGTGGAGTGAGAGAATAGGATATATTCTGCTGCCACTGACCGGTGTGTGACCTGGAGCAAATCACTTAACTGCTCCGTGGGTCATTCTGCACACTCTCCACCATCAACATGGATATGATCAGCGGGCTCGCGGCGGACACAACTGCGCACTCACTATGTGTTGTGTGCAACAGAAGCCCCGGAGTCAGCCTGCTTAGCTTACCATCCCTGCTCTACTACTTGCCAGTTGGGTGCCTTTAGGCAAATTAATAGTTCTAAGCCTCAGTTTCTTGATATGTATAATGGAACAAATATTATTGAATTATTAAAGTTCACATATTACTGAAATTACTAAATTCTCTCTATAATTATTAAAACACACGTGGTCCAGTGCCAGGCACACACTAAGTCCTCCAGCAGTTATGGGAAATGGGGGAGTTGGGGGAGGGGAGTAGTGACAGAGGCAGGAGGAGGAGGGGGAAGGACAGGGAGGAAGGAGGAGGGGTGGAAGGAGGGAGGGAAAGATGGAGAGAAATGAGGAGGACCCCCTTGGCATTACCAATCTTCACAACCCATCTGGGCACTGAGTCAGGGGCTTCTTCCATTTCCAGCAACTTCCATCTCCATATTTCAAAGGATCTCCCTCTATGTGGCTGGCTCACCATTATTTTTCAAATCCCAGTTTCTTCAAATGCTACTCGCTTGCCCTTAATACTATTCAAATAATTCCACAGCAGAAAAAAATCTCCCAACAGCTCTGCTCAAGGCTTATAGCAAGAGATATAAGAAAGGCACTCATTCCTTTTTATTGCTATGTCAAAATATTATAATTTACCATTAATTGTTCTAATATGCTAAAGTCCTGGGAAACACAGTCTTTGCTATGTCAGGGTTTAAACAAAAAGCCTCATTCGAGCCTGGCAAGTATTGCTGCAATCTTCCCATAGACCTTGATAACAAAAAGATTACCAGGTAAAATGCATGAAGCAGCTAACAGGCTCCGAAGGGCCTCTCATGGCAGCTGGTCAGTGTGACTTTTATTTGGCTGTCTCTGCTTACTAACACTAAACCAGGCATATACCAGCCAAGTGAAGCATCCCTGGGGTCTTTGCAGTATTAGAACAAGTAAGGGAAATGCTCCCCTGTCTGTGTCCCTCCTACTCACTACTGCAGCCTCTGGGGCAGGGGAGGTTAATTTCTGCCACAGAGGATTCTGCCCTAGGGCTGGTGAATTTCACTAACTGACCTCGATGCAACCATCGAGGATGAGGATATGGGGCTCGCAGGGACCTGCTGGCAGATCAGTTCTGCAGGGCAGAAAGGAGTCTGGCAGACTCACGGCTTCTGATGAAGATCAGAGCTCTGGACCAGGTCAAGTCAGTCTGAGGCCAGTCAGCCCTCGATTCTTCTGGCCACAGGGTGAGCCTGACTGGGAGATGGGGAAGGGAAGCAAGCACCATTCTTCCCATACTGGGAACGGAGGACAGTCCACATGGGTACTCTCCCCCAAATAACTAAAGCTCGCAGCAGAATCCCTTTCACATCTGTTTCTCTAAAGCAGAACAAAATCAAACCTTTTCTGGATCACTCAAGACCACTGACATGAACATTATTTGTTCTACAATGCCCTCCAGGGGCTATCGGAGGCACGTGGCTGCTTGAACACGAAATGGCTCCATCAGGCTGACATTTTAAAATTAGTATGTCTTATTTTTTTTTAAAGTATTATTTATTTTTATATCAAAACAAGTATTAAACATTAAGTATTTATAAAGCTTCTAATCAAAGAGCAATGGCTCATATGTCTTACCACTGCAAGAGCTTTCAACTTGCCAGGATGTTCCTCCACGTGTTTCTCTCCCTGTGGCCCTGAATATGCTTCCACACTATATCTTGATTTATCAACTTTAGACGTTATCCACTGAATTTCTGCAATGGTATAGACTCGTCCTTACAACTTTGGTAAAATCAATATTCAGAATCTTTCTTTCCCTGGAGCCCATAAATGCTTCATTTAAAAAAAATGCTTTATTTTCTAAATTTTCTTTTTTTCCCTCCTGTTTAATCCTTTTTCTTTAATTTCTATTTTTGGGGTCATACTTTAAGTTCCAATTTTTCTGTTATTTTTAAAAATTTTGTACTATCATACTCTTAGTTTTCTAGAGCATTTTTAAATTTTTTTGACCCTTCATTTTTATGCCATCCCTTCCTTGTTTGATGGATGTGCTCTTCTGTCTTTCATGAGAATAAAAAAAGCTGGCTGGAAGCTCTGTGTTTCTAGATGGGTGAACCTTGCCATAGGGTACAGTAGTGGGGGTTTGGCTAACTCAGTGGAGAGTGTCCAGATGTCAGTAGCAATGGGCAGTCAGTACCCATGGGCTAATCTCATGAAAAAAGAAATCTCTAACTCCTGCTAGGAAAGTGGTGGGTGTAACTTTTGATATAGGAGTTCTGAGTGTCAGAGGGGAAGGGGGCTGGGCATTTTGCTGTTCAGGGACAGACTTTTAGTTAAATCCATTTTCATGCTTCATTCCTGACCTCATCTATGCCGAATGTCTAGAGCTCAGAGGTCCTCTGGTCAAACTTTTTCTTTTCTTTTTTTTTAAGATTTTATTTATTTATTTGAGAGAGCGAGTGAGAGAGAGCATGAGCAGTGGGGAGAGGCAGAGGGAGAAGGAGAAGGAGACTCCCCACTGAGCAGGGAGCCCGATGGGGGACTCGATCCCAGGACTCTGGGATTATGACCTGAGCCGAAGGCAGACGCTTAAGCGACTGAGGCACCCTGGTCAAACTTTCTAGAAAACATTCTTCCTATCTTCTGCGAGGT